GATTTCCGACTGTGGTCACTCTTGCAGTTCCAAGAATAAGAGAGTCGTGAAAGTGCAGGTCATATTACTTTCATTACTTTTGATTGAAGCAGCAGATAAAATATACTGTAATGTAGGACTGGAATAAATTTTCATTTTGTTTGCAAAGGGATATCTTTTAATACAAATGTACTTAATTATTCTTCCACTCTTCAGATAATTTATGGATAAATTCTGTGCTGGACAGAGCAAGAATGTCTGCAAGTCTCACTATGGCTATTTGCCAAACTGATTCCCAGAGTCCAGATTATACTGTCTGTGTCTGTTAAACACTGCTCCATTTCCACCAGACTCACAGAGGCAGACACAAACAGAGAAGCTCATTTCACTGTTTGTTTGCCTTTGTATAGTAATCCAAAATAACACACAAATCTACAAACGAGAGCAAATTCAGAACAACGAAAAATGTAACAAAAAAAAAAACACTTTTGTATGGAAATTACTTAACAGAACTGACTAACAGAAGACATTCACTGAGACACACTGAAGAATTCCTCTGATCCACTTTGCCCTTGCATAACAACACACCTGCTCAAAGTTTCTGATAAACCAACCTCCCTAATAGTTCTGGTATGCACAGACTTGGGAAAATACGTTTAGTCAAAGGTCAGTCCACAAGCCCACAAGATGTGTATGATGGCTGTGGGACCGTGCTCACACAGCCAGCTGTCTTCTCACTTAATCTGGGCAGAAAAAAAAATTAATTGGACAATGCTGCCTACCTAAAGCGTAGGCAGCCTTTTCACACTCTGTAACTGAACAGCACAGAGTCCAGCATTAGTGAAAGCTGATTTACTAATTCTGCTCAATGTTTACAGCAACTGTGCATTGTTTTTACATTAAATGTACTATCTCAAAATCAAACATATTGCTAGGCAGAAATATGAAATTTATAACATTAATGCAGGTAAATTGAAAATTGAGAAAACAATAAAATATAATTTTGTTTTTCTCTTAAGCTTGTTCAACCTTGACAAGGTATAAAAAGTAAAATCTTTTATCATTACTGATACACTCCACCTGCTGTGGAAGTTAAAGCCAGAGTTGGAGTTAGCCATTTTCGCCATCAGTGAGAAGTCATTAAAGTGAAATCAGAGGAAACCCAGAGATTTTAAAAGGCACATAAAAACCAAAGCTGTATTTTCTCTAATATGTTGTGAGAAACAGAGAGGGAGAGAGAGACTCATAGAAAGAGAAGGGCAGGGAGCGAGAGAGAAGCTGCATTTTCAAATTCTGCTAAATCTTTGTCTAGAATTTTGCAATTGCTGTATTTACATTAAATAAGAAATCTGATTAAAATTATGTGTTCACACTTTACGTCATTAAAGTCATCAGGTTTTCCTCCAGTGCTTAGTAAGCCTGGTGTTCCAATCGACCAAATACCAAGCAAGTCATATTTCACTGATGATTGCAATTAAATATATTTTGCAGCTTTATTGGTATATGGGTGTGGACAACAGCCGTAGAGATTTTGCATGATGCACTAATAATGTCCCCAATGTGGAGGTAAAACAACAAAATTAATTGAAATTAAATGTTTAATATCAATATACATCTATTTAAAAAACCTTAAAAGATAAGTCTATTCCATAATACAAGTCTATCAGTTCATGTTTTGAACCCCAAATGTGCAAAAAATCAATTGGTTTATTTAGGCCTCCAAAAAAATATGGTCTTCATGACGTTAAAATAGCAAAACTCTTAATTTTTAATGCAAAACATGTGATATGCATCAATAAAAAGTTTTGTTTGCGCTTTTGTAGCAATTTACATTTTCCACTGAAAAACTCATTTGACTGAAATCACCAGGCCTCTGGCTTTATAGCTGCCTGGACCCGGAGTCGTCCAACTGTGAATTAATGAATGACTCCAGAACATTTGCTGATACAAGTAGAAATCTATTCTAATCAGTCGTCTGATATGCAAGTAGTCTTGAATTATGTTGTGCTCTCCCTGGTAGTCATTTAAAAAAAAACAATGTTATTTTCTACTGTTATCGCTGCGCCCTTATCCGTCCATATCGCTTACAAAAATAACACATTTTGTTCTCTCCCACAGTCTCCTGCTTTCTAAATGTCTGCTCCGCTTGGACCTCATGTTGTGGAGGTGTTCAAGTGAAGCCTTGAAAGCTTGTTTGACTCAGTTCACTGTGTTGGAGTGAAACATTTCATTAATTTCTAAATCTCAGCTACAGACTCCAGCGCCAGTTATCTAGCTGGGAATAGTGTTTACTTAATCAAAAGGCTATTTACAGTGGTACTGGGTTTCTATTATTTAGAAAAAGGAAATAAATAAAGGGATTGTTTTAGGTGGTAGTGGAGGTCGGGAGAGGGATAAATTCCTAAGTAATCTGTCATTGACACACAAAACCTAAAATAGAACCCATGGGATGTTTTCTTTCTATTAAAGTGGCTCTGGTTCTCTATAAAAAGCTGTGGAATGACTATTGGCTAGGATAAACACATTACCCTGTAAAACCTTTTTGTCTCTATAAATACCCAGTCATTTAAATTATGCAAGAGTGGACCACATAACTGGCAAGATTTTACTCCAATAAAAAGATTGATCTTCGATGAAAAACAATGTCTTCTTTGATGTTTTATCTAAAAACTGATGACTGGATGTTTGTCAGTGTAGAAGCAGATGGATGTATTTTCTGAACATCAAGTGGATTTTGAAAGTTTACAGACAACTGCTGCAAGACAATTTTATTTTTTTTTTATTTTTTTTTTTACATAACTCACGTTGAAGCAATTCTTTTGTTGATTTAAAATATGCTTGGACTCACAATGTATGAAAAATTTAACCCCTTTTCATTTTTAACAGGCAGTTGCAAATTTCATCCCTTTTACAAAATTCCCAGTTCCAGCACCAGAAAAGTAACCCAGAGCAAGAAGCTGCCATCACCGTGTTTCAGTGAGGGTATAATCTGCACCGTGATGTTTTTGTCAAAAAATACCTTTTGGGGAGAGGGGAAATAAAATCATCTTGGGTTGAATCAACACATTTCCCTCTGGGTTTTGAAAGATTTTCAGACCTGGATGTTTTTTTTTAGAGAAAATACACACTGGTTGAAATTTTATTTCTTAGTTCAGACAAAGGGGCATTCAACCAGTATATGAGGAAATCCTGCAGCTCCTCCAGAGTTGCTGTAGCCATGCTGGCCACCTTTCTGACTAAGGTCTAACAGATGTTTTGATATAATGGCCTTCTCCTGACAGATAGGATAGGAAAACTCCATTGTTTCTCTGTGACCTATAAAAAGCTAAGTCTCTAGGTAAAGGATGTAAATGTGAAAGAAATCCTACCAGGACAGCTGAATTTTACTTCCTTTCATCAAGTTCTCTTCTTTTTTTATTTCTTGTATTATTCTGACCTTATGAGTTACTTCATTTTTAAGTCGCATAATGTAACTTATGTGAACTATTGCATAAACACAGTGAAAACCATCACCATGCTTAACCTGAAATCACAACACTGACTTGTTTTTTTTCCTTAAAAGATTAAAATATGCTCCAATAAACCTATCGAAACACCACAGGTTCTATTTTAGTTTTCTCTGGCAACTACTATCCGCATTGTATCATGTTAATGGTTGGATATAAAAATGATATGTTACAAAAAGCAGCATCAACAATTCTCTGAGCAAATGCGACAATGTACAAGTGGGTGGTCTGCAAAGGCATGCCTAACGTGGCATCAGTTTCCAAGCAACATCAACATCCACAGGTCTTCCTGTTCGCCTCTTCTGCCGCCTACGACTGACTGCTTTCATGAGGACGAGTGTTTTGCTTCAGCATCAGCTCAGCCTACTGAGAACTGCAACCCAGATTATAGCAGTAAAACGGTTAAGTAGTAAAAGTGGAAGAATTAATTTTACTGGTTCAGAGGGAACTATTTGACCTTGCCATCATGCATTCGACATTTGTGAAAACAATGGCCACTATTGTACTCCTCCGCAAAGCTGACTCGATTTGCAAAAAGTTTACAAATTTCAAGCAGTGGCTGCACAGTGATTCCAACACGTGGAGCCGCAGGCTTTTTCCCTCAAACAGCAATCAAGGCTCTACTAATGCTTTGCTGTGTGTTTTGGGGATAACTATGAAAGGAAGGGTGTACTCCATCTAATTCCTGTTCTGAACAGTTTCTCCCACATGCCATTTAACCAGAGCGCCCCACACACTTCTAATCTCCTGGAAACTGTCTACATAAACCAAATGTGCCATTTACTCCTCGACAACTGACACACCTTCCATCCCCCACAATAATTTTTTTTTTATTTTTTATTTTTTTTCTGTCAGGATCACAGACTTTTCCTGTTGGCTGTTTGGCTCTGTGTCATGAGGGGTCAACATGACAACAGATGATTCAGACGGTGTGGAGACGCCTCACTTCCTGTGGCTGTAAGAGCATGTCAAACCCAGACCAAATGAATGACTGTACCGACAGGGAGAAATTCCTCCCTAAAGACTGATTCATAGCGTACGGGATAAGATCCTGGCCTGGAATAGTGAGCAGTTTTAAGGAGTTGTTGTGAACTTTGTGGGACAAGCCTGATGTATAAGTCTGTATCCTGCACCATAAATAATAGCTTTGCCTTGCCAGGATATCAAAACTTCTAATGACATGCACCGTATGAACTGAAAAGCTGCTACACAAAAAAGAAATCAATCATAGCAAACTTTCTTCGGTTTATAAAAGCTCTACAGGGAGCTCCAAATGAAATACACAGACTTCATCAATAAAGAGTATTTATTTCCCCTTCTACCTCAGTTTGCTTTTTCTACCAATAAGCCATAGGTTGCTGTTGGCCTTAAAGCTGAGAGATTCTGCCAGAAAAATTCTTCACGATTTTCTTCAGCCAAACATACACAGACAGTGAGTCAAACAAGTCACAGACTTATACATGTGCACACACACGCACAGTATATACAGTCAGGAACATATGTCTGAATACTTACATCAGTTTTTCTAAACTTGGCTTTAAGGCTCTTCATGTTAAGTCTGATCCATGCAGTCAGTCACTCAAATTGTTTCGCTGATCTCCTGCAAAGAACAAAACACAGATGTTTAAACACAGCCTCAGTGACGTTTCCTCCTATTTTAACTGTGACGCTGAAGATTTCTGACTCAATGTGCTTTGGATGTTTCTTGCACAAGGTAACGGTGAATATGAGTTGAAAGTATAACATGCTTCAGCGGTGAGCCATGAGTTTCACATTGTGAGTAAATCAACACAGTTTTTACAACATTACAATGTCTAAAAACGACAGTTTCATTAACAAAAAGCTCAGCAGGCATTAAACCTGTTTAATATCCAACTATTTCACCTCAGTTAATAAGAAACTGTGGCTGAAAATGCCATTTGTTCCAAAAAGGATGTTATAAATCACAAAAGAATCCCCAGGGAACCAAAGTTTTGTTTCCTAAGTGCCTCAAGCAGTTTTCAGTTCTTTAAGCATCCAAGCATGTTAATTACTTCAGCAACACAGTTTATTTCTACTACGTAGCAAAAATGCAGTGCAAAAGCACTCTAACTCCTTGTGCTTTTCCTTATTTAAAAAAGCACATTAAAAACCAAAAACATCGACTTCAGTATAGGGCACATTGAAGTCTATTCTGAATAGACTTCAATATATTTTAAATGGATGTTTTGTTTTGAAACAACATTACAAAATAATCCATAATTATACAATGGATCAAAGGAGGGGGTTTTTTTGTTCTTGTTTTTTTATGTTTTCTGAAAAAAAAATATTCAAAAAGTGTGGCATGCATGCACACCACTCAAGACATGTTTGCCAATTTCTCTTTGCAAAAAAGCACAAGTTTAGTCGGGGTTGAAGGAGAGTGTGTGTGAGCATCACTTTGAAAGTCTTGTCCCAGATTCTTAACTGGACTTAGATCTGAACTTTGACTGGATCACTCAGACATAAATATGATTTACTAAATCATTCCACTGAGAGTCTTCCATCAGACTCTCAAGGTTTTTCCTGTCCTGTACTGAACTGCACCATCCATATTCCCATCAACCTGTCTCTGCTAATGAACAGGATGCCCACAGCATGATACTGCCACCACTGTAACTCACTGTGAAGGCTTAGCAGGCTAAAGGTATTGTGCTGCAGGGTCACCTTTTCCACATGTTTTGTGTGTAGGACAAGAAGACCATATCACTGCACCTTTCTCTATACTTTCCATGTCTCATTTATATCTATATGCATGTCATAAAGAGTGAAAGTCTTGTTGAACAAGAAAGAGCAAATCTATCCACCAACACAACTCATATCAAGAACAGGCAGCAGAATAAACGCAAAACATAACAGACTTGAGGTCAAATGTGTCAAGAAGGGAGAAATGTGGCTCTCTTATCAAAGTTTAAGAGACAACAAGCAACGAGGATTACAGTGTTCAAAGCTGCAACTCGTCTCCCTCTGCACACATCAATATATCCTCATGCAGCCAGTGTATGAGGCGTGCATCCCTGTACAGCACCGAGCTAGATCAGGTTAAACGCCGTGGGATTGAACAGGAGCTTCTTTAAGGCTCCGCTGAGATTTACTTGCAATTAGTTATGAGCGGTTTGGTGAAAGCAATGTCCGCAACTCCAACTAAATCACCCAACGTGATTAGGAAGCTATTAGACACTTACCGTACTGTGTTGGACTCGCACGGGCAAATAAAAAGAGACAACAGCTTTCTCTCTTTCTTTCTTCCTTCCTTTCTTTTCTCTTTTCAGGGCAAAAACTGATCATCTATTGAACAACACAGACAGCAAGCAGCGAGCAGCGGTGAAGCCAAATCAACGCGGAAGACGCATTTAAAAGCTACAAAGAAATAGTCCGAGACAACACGGCGGTTCGCCTCGGCCCGCATACATTAAAAGTTGGGTCGTTGGTGGACTCCGTCCCTCCTCTGGCTCCGGACTGAACTCAAAGGCTGCCTCAGCCTGAAGCCCGGTTTAGGAAAGTGACGTCACGCCCCTGGTCTCCATTGTGCCCCATTCATTGCTGTTAAAGGAGCATTCCGCCAATTTTTTTTTTTGAAAAATCCCACATGACCAATAAAGGCGACAAATTCAATTCCTGCAGGACAATAGCGATTTACAAGACTTATGTATTTTTTTTCCCAAGCTGTTAGTTTAGATATTATTCAGTTTCAACAACACATAAAAATAGTGCAGTATATTTGTAGGATCACCATTTTCTTTCTCTTTCTCTTAAACTTTTTTCTAAAAATTGTCTTTGTTACAGTTTCTTTTAGTCCAGTCACTGTTTAATTGTTTCCTGTTCACCAGGGCTAGAAAGTTGTCAAATGGGTGACCAGATGGACACCACTATTAATTTGGTGATGTAAAATAAAATAAAATAAAGAGAGAGAGAAAAAAAAAAGATCAATGTTAGAGATTGTTCACTTAGGGCAAGCAAATTCAAACATAGGATGGATATCCCTCTTTTCACTTATCCTTTTACCACTGGAAGTTCATCCAAACAAACTTATTCTCACTCTTTTCTATAATTGTTTTCTTAGATCAGTTTGGTGACTTTTTAGTTAATGCCCTGAATCTGATGGTTTGGAATTACAATTCGGCTTGGGTCCAACTGTACTTTGTTTTTGGATTAAATCTGACCAGGTCTAATTGAATAAATGTCACAAGGTTTGTAGAATATCCAAAGTTATACAGATTTCAATTGTTATTTAGCATTGACCAAACATGCATTCCCAACATGGGCCAATTTCTATTTATTGTCTGTTCACATTTTGTGCAATGTGTCACATGACTGAGCTTGTTCATCCATAAAAAAATAAATATATTGTGCTTTTTGGCTTTTGCAGTGTAATATGTCTCAACGTGTAAGCTGAAAAGCTTTCCTATTTGCACAAGTCACAGTCATTTTACAGCCCCCTGTTGAAACAGTACTGCACTGAAACTTAATAATGCAAGCACAAACATGTTAGTACTGTTAGTCAACATTACAAAAATGTTGTTATCGTCTGGAAAGATGAGATAATGTATCCAAGGTAACTCAGTAACTGAGCATTACATCAAAGTCAACACCAAAGAAATAACATCTGTGAACTCATATTTGTATGTGCTGGAAGTTTAACTTTTTTTTTTTTACAAGCGTGAATTGTGTCGATCCAAAAAATTTTGTTATAATCAGTGAAAGCAAGTGAAAGACATTGTCAGACTAAGATGGATGGAACAATTCCTCATTGGTTAAACTGATTACCTGATGTGGTGTCAGTTTCATAAGGAACCTTGATTTAAAAAACTACAATAATTCCAGTAAACTAACAAACTAGAAACAAAGAAAGAAGGTCGAGAAAAAAATGGGACAGTGACATCTAGTGGAGGGATGGTTTAATGTTGCTTATTAGCTGGTAAAGATGACATCAAAGCTGTTCATTCCTTATTTCAGTCATTTACTGTTTATGTACTAGTTTGTATTTTTTTACAAATCAAAAAATGAAAAGAATTTGTCTTCTTTCTCAACATTGTATTGTGCCTTGAACATTTTCACACCTTCTCAGCTACACAGTTGTTCATCAACTTAGAATAGAATAGAATAGAATAGAATAGAATAGAATAGAATAGAATAGAATAGAATGAATAGAATAGAATAGAATAGCATTTATTGTCATTGAACAGGATTCAACGAAATTTCTATTGCAACTCCCGTGCAAAAAGTCAAAATATACAATATTAAATAAACAAACAGACAATAATAATAAATATACAACTAAAATTAACTAAAGGCACTCAACCACACCAAAGAAGAAGCAGCAGGTCTAATTATGGTAAAGTGCAGATGATGTGACAAAGGTCAAAGTGCAGAACAATATGGCTGTGTGGGGTGGGGGGTATGTGAGGTTATGATATGTGTGGGAGGGGGCGGCAGGGAGTAATGGCTCTGACGGCTGTGGGGAAGAAACTGTTTTCTCAGTCTGTTTGTTGTAGTCCGTATATTCCTGTACCGCTTGCCTGATGGCAGCGGCACAAACAGTCTGTGGCCCGGGTGGCTGGAATCCATGGCTATGGATCCAGCTCTCTTCTTGACCCGGCCCATGTAAATAGAGTCCAGGTCCGGGAGGGGGCATCCCACAATGCCTTGTGCTGTTCTCACCACCCGTGTCAGTTGTTTCCTCTCCAGTGCTGTGCAGCCACCATACCACACAGTCACGTTGTGGCAGAGGACGCTCTAGATCGTCGCCCTGTAAAAGTTCACGAGCAGCCGTGAGGAAAGTCCAGCCCGTCTCAGTTTCCTGAGGAAGAAGAGCCTTTGTTTGTGCTTTCTTCACCAGGTGGGAGGTGTTGGTATTCCAGGAGAGGTCAGACGTGATGTGGAGGCCCAGGAACTTGATGTTGTCCACACGCTCCACCTCTTCTCCATCTATGAGAAGGGGAGTGACCCGTCCTCCTGGACCTTCTGTAGTCCACAATGACCTCCTTGGTCTTCCCTGTGTTCAGCACCAAGTTATTGGCTGAACACCACTGAGTGAGCTGCTGAATTTCCTCTCTGTAGTGGTCTCGTTGTTGTCTGAAATGAGACCCACTACTGTTGTGTCGTCCGCGAACTTGACGACTGTGTTGGTGGGGTGGATGGCAACGCAGTCGTGTGTGAACAGGGTGAAGAGAGCTGGGCTGAGCACACAGCCCTGCGGTGTGCCTGTGTTGAGGACCAGTGGGGACGATGTTGATCCACCTATTCTCACCACCTGAGGCCTGTTGGTGAGGAAGTCTCTGATCCAGTGGCACAGTGAAGCAGGCAGCCCCACCTTGAGTAGCTTCAGCACCAGCTTGTCTGGGATGACGGTGTTAAATGCTGAGCTGAAGTCTACAAATAGCATCCTGACGTAGGTGTTGGGATGCTGCAGATGGGTCAGGGCTGTGTGCAGAGTGATGGAGACAGCATCCTCTGTTGACCGGTTCGCTCTGTAGGCGAACTGGAGGCTGTCCAGGTCTGCAGGGATGAAGTGTCTGATGTACCTCAGAAGAATCCTCTCAAAGCACTTCATGATCACCGGGGTCAGAGCGATGGGCCGGTCGTTCAGGCTGGTGATGGTCGTCTTCTTCGGTACAGGGATGATGGTGGAAGACTTGAGACACTCAGGAACCATGGTGAACTGCAGGGACAAATTGAAAATGTCCAGAAACACTCCTGCCAGCTGGTCGGCGCACGTTTTCAGCGTCTGGCCTGACACCTTGTCCGGTCCTGTAGCTTTGCGGGTGTTGATCCTCCTCAGGGTGGACGTCACCTGGTGCTGCTGCAGGACGAGAGGCTGGTACTGCTCTTCCAGTCGGGGTAGATGTACAGCTTCTCTGCTGCCCACCGTGTCAAAGCGGGCAAAGAAGCTGTTTAAGGTGTCAGGCAGGGTGGGTCGCGGCTGGTCAGCTGAATGCTGTGTTTGTAGTCTGTCATGGTCCTGATGCCTCTCCACATGCTTCGGGGGTTGTTGTTGATGAAGTCAACTCTCAATTAATTTGTGCAGGATATTATGTGATAGGCCAACATAAAATGTTTAGTCGTTGCAAATAATATGCTTTTGTAACATAAAAAGCTGAAAAACGTGGCAAAATGTACTGCTACACAAAAAAATCTTTCAGAAGTCACCATGTACTCCTGAAGTCCTTTTAAAAAGGTTTAAGTTTATTTTCAAAGAACATGAAGCTTTGTCTCAGGGAATGCTGCACAATCCAAACTTTTACCACCGTTAAGGCGCAACAGTGGAAAAATAGCCTTCCGGCTAACATGGCATTTTTGCAGAAATGTTATTAATATAACCCTGTAATAAAAATAAACAAATAAAAAAAATCATCTAAAATTAGAAAGTGTGGCTCAATGCAATGTATGGAATTGGAGTCAAATACAGGACAGTTTAGGGGGAATGCATGTTAGAGGTTTTTTTTTGCCATAAAACATGACAAATGTCATTAAACATGTCAAATCGAAGAATAAAGGTGTGGTCGGGATTGGAAACAAAGAGTGCTCGTACTCAAGATGGTTACTGACCTTCTGTTTTGTTTCTACAGTCAGCAATTACTTAGAAAGGATAAAGTTTTTTCCTTCCCTAAAAACCTCAACAAATATTACATCTTTTGTTAAAATGTGCAATCAATGGATCAAACACATTTAATGGAGTTGCTGCAGTGCGTTAATGATGAATGATTAAAAGGAACGAGCGACTGTCGACGAAACCGGAAATGGTAATCGGAACAACTTTCATTCCGGATGTGAAGCTGTGCTTGATCGAGCAAGTTCCTACTGGGAAAGGAGCTCGTTCCGAGCCAAAACAAAAACAGCTCCGTCACCGGCTTCTCTTCTCCCTTTCTGATCAGTCGCTGCCGCAATATGCCGCTGAAACCATGTTTCACCTACATCATCGGGGCATCCTCTTTACTGATGCTGATCGTGGGGATATCTTTAGTTTTATCCAATGTGTTTCCAAATTTTCTACAGTCCAAGGTTAAAACGGTAAGGAGTTGAAATAGGCTAAATGACTAATGTTAATTTTTAGCTTAACATTAGACCGGGGGTTGACTAAATCCCGCATGTTTTTGACTAAATCACGCATGTCTTTGTAAACAGTAGATTTGCGAGCATGACTGTTAGTTTTTTTGTGCTTTAGCTCATTTATACCGCAATACTTTTAAAAACTAAGGTTAGATGTGTTACGGCTAATGCTGCACGCACTTCGTCAGTTTTATTTAGTAGCGTGTAAACTTTGTTAATAAGACTGATTATGTAAGCCGTTCTAATGTTGGTGAACGACAGCATCGCAGCTCACGTGAATAACCGCAACAATTCACGTGCAGTTTCAACAGGATTCAGTATTTCTCGCCATGCTACTCTGCTTGCAGACTTGATTGACTCCACAACTGATGGTGATAAGGATACTTTCACTCTTTCCTGGTCATGTGACGAGAGACAATTCATCATGTGCAGATGATTCATCCGTAGTCTGATCATTTAATCCACTGCCCTTTGTCCCGCTTAGGAAGTAGTCCTGAGAAATGGGACAGAGGCTTTTGAGGTTTGGCTTGATCCCCCTGCTCCGATCTACATGCAGTTTTACTTCTTCAATCTGACGAACCCAGAGGAGGTCTTGATTGGGGAAAGACCAGCTGTGATGGAGATTGGACCTTACACATATAGGTGCGAAGATGGCTCATTTTCGTTATTTATTTTACCAGGGTATGGTATAAATGTTGAGAAACGGTAATAAAACATTAAACACAAATACCCAAAGCAGAGTTTTATCTCTAGCTATAGATGGAGGAAATGGAGCAATGATTTTATAAGTCCCTTGTTAAACTGGAAAATAAGTTCTATTTGATTTGTTGACCAAAATGAAAGTCTTTTATAAGCAGGTGCTTTCCACGAAGACAAGTTGAAAGCAAAGAGGTGCCAGAAAACGGAAAGCAACAAGCGATTAAGTGAAAGAAAGTTCACTGCAGTCTGTAACCTTTTGTTTCACTTCCTTTAGATTCAGTAATGCCTACCAATCGCTGCAGCAAAATTCAAAGAAACCTATCAAGGGAAACAGTGTTTACTTCCAGTCAGTGTTTTATTTGCTTTCTAAGTGTGTCTGGTTTAATGCAGAAACGTACTAAAAAACATGCAAGTGACTACAGTGAAAAGTAGTTCTACAAAATATTGGCTAAGGCAACTTTATACCTCTGCACTACTTTCTGTTAATCTAACACAAAAATACTGGAAAATGTGTGTAAGTACAAGCAATATGAATATTTTGCATAACACTATAGCTAAAGTTTAGAATGCAGCCTGAAGGTATTACCATTTAATTGGCCTCAAACTACAGCCGTAATGCGATTTGTCAAATTTTTCATAACACAGAGAATATCGGCCCATGGAGGAAGTGGTCTTCCAGGACAATGGCACAAGAGTTGCGTCAGTCAATCGTAAAACTTACATTTTTGAGCGCAACATGTCCCGAGGTCCTGAAAGTGACCTAATCAGGACGGTTAACATCCCTGCTGTGGTGAGTTCTACAAATCCCCTCTTTTAAAAAAATATACTAGGAATATTTTGTTTGTGCAGTAATTTGGTTACATGAAAATATCTGCAGATTGTATTTATTTTTTAAATTAGAGTAAAACACCTAACTTCAGAAACAACAAATCACTTATGTAAAAAATAAGTCTTTTTTTTATAAACTTTATTATACAGCTGGTTTTTACCTGTAGTGAAAATGTTACTTTTTCTTTCCTTTACAAGTGTGCTGAAGGGAATATTCAAAGAGGTTGTCACTAATTTTTCTACTTTTTTCTAATAGACAGTAATGGAAAAATTTAAGGATAGTGTGATTGCAGCCAATTTGATCTCCGCCTACATGCGATCCTCTGGTATCGGCCTGTTCACCACCCGCACTGTGGGAGAGCTACTATGGGGATATGAAGATGGCCTTCTCAAAGCTCTCAAATTGTTTGATCCTGAGCTGGACAAGTTTTTTGGACTTTTCTATAAGAATAATGCTTCAAATGATGGCGAATATACATTCTTTACTGGCCAGGAAAACTACAAGGACTTTGCTAGAGTGGACACATGGAATGGGAAAAGGTAGAGACTTTGTTTTTTTTTTTTAATTCTAGTTCAGCAATTATTCATCTATCAGTAAATCAATGAATCCACTGAGGTTTAAATAAGTTATTGGATCAGTATTTATTGATTCAATAATATTTATCCAGCTGTTTTTTCCACATTGTCTCCATAGTTAATCCATCATTAATCTAGAGGTTGCTGATTGTATTAAACAAAGTGGGTCATACGAATGAAAATAGCTATTATTGCTTTGTTTGACCCCCCTCCTCTTTTGCCAGCAGGCAGTCTTAAGTCTTCTATATCATTGCACAATTTTTAAACATACAGACAGAAAGAGGGAGAGAGCTTTGACTAATTTATTTGAAAAATATGTCTGAATTGTTCAGAGTCTTTGGTGCTTTCTTATGCAATCCTCTCACCAGCTCAGCCCATTATTTAGCATTTTTTCAGAGGATTTAGGTCTGGTGACTGAAAGGGCCATGGAAGACAGTTAATTTTATGTTTGGTATTGATTTTGGTGGTTTTTTTTAGTTTAGTATTGTGCTGAAATCTCAAACATTGATTTATTTTAAATGTTCTGTCAGAAACCACATAATTTATGCATAAAAAGTTCTAAAATGTCAGATCCTAGCAAGGTTTCCAGGATCAGAAAAGGAAGAGACCCACAGATTCTTACAATGCTTTACATTTCATAATGAAGATTATTTTCCACATTCATCCTTTGTTTTATACATACCCTTTACGCATACATTGGAAGACATAATAATAATATAACACTCAAGTATCTCCTAAAACCCATTTAAGCTTGAATGTAATTTTGAGTACACAATTTAATCTCCAGAATATCTTCCACATGAGCGCCCTAGCTCTTTCATCGAAATCCCACATATCCATTATTTTAAAATCAACACATTAGTAACTTAATTTCACACCACACTGCAGATGCTTCACTCAAAAAATGCAATAGTTTAAGCTGTTAATTTGACCCGTATGGTGAAAAAAAAATAAATATATAAAATTAGATGCTGATGGCACGGAAAAATGACGAACCCAGTCATAGTGTAGCAAGACACCTTCAACCTCTGCCCTTTTTCACTAGTATTAATCAGCTTTGCACAACTGGAGTAGATCAGAATCATTACATAAATATTTGTGCCTCCTTTATCACCTTTCTTACTTGCATAATAGCAACAAAAAAAAACATACAGCCTTGTTTGTAAGGTCCCAGTAGTGTTAATACACATTGCTGTTGCTCCTTTTATAGGTCAGTACTTTTTTTAAATAATGAAAAAAAAAAACTTGCTAAGAGAAACTGGCCCATCACATTATATTTATCCCATGGACTACATGTTAAATGTTTCTGAATGCTGATCACCTTTAAAAATAAATACTTCGGTCACATTTATTTTACTAGAATTGGAATTTTGCCGCCATAAAATATTAATTCATGTAGATGTGGTTCATACATCTTTGCTAGTTGTGCCAGTTATAGCAAAAAGCGCTGCATGTATGTTAACCCTTTTTAGTGTAGTTACCAGGCTGTCTAAGAGCTCCAAGCTGTTTTTAACCTCTGAAAATAATACAAATAAATGTTTGGATTGTGACTGCAGCTCTTTGAATTGGTGGACGTCTGACGAGTGCAATATGATCAATGGTACCAACGGAGCGTCTTTCCACCCAATCATCAATAAGAATGAAGTCCTCTACATGTTCTCCTCTGACCTGTGCAGGTGAGGTGCTGATGCAGAAAATATATTTAAAATGTATATATATAAAAAATTTACAGATATTTTTTAAACAATTAATTGTGCATCTTTAAGTAATTTTCTTTTTTATGTTTCCATTTCTGTATAGAAAATAGCTTCTTCTTTCCCTCATGACCCGTTCTACTCATGCAGCATATCTGGTTTTAACCTCTGACCCCATTGTTGGCTGAAGACATTTAGTAAAATGTTTCCCTCTTTAGACATCCTAAGCCTTATCCACAGTGTTATCTTGGTGTAAGGACTGGATTAAGAATTAAGAATATTACTTCATCTTGAGTTAGTTCAGATCTACAGTAGGATCTGAATTACAGCACCTGTTGGAGCCCCAACAGGTGCAACATGTGGGTCTACAACTTGCTTAACTTGTTTACTAAAACAATAGGTGCCAAGATGCATGTGAACTTCTGAGCACTTATTGTAAAACCTGTTGTACTCTAAACTGATTTCCTGAAAACCTGAGCGTGCAAAATAAATGCAGTTGCTTTGTGCTGCATATTAGTTTTATATAACTATCTCTGCCACCAAAGACGACTTGGTGTGTGATTTTTGTTTTCAAGGTCGTTGTATGCCGTGTACACCAAAGATGTGATTGTGAAGGAGATCCCTGGCTATCGCTTCGTTCCCCCCTTCGAAGTTTTCGCCAATCACACCGTGAACCCAGCCAACGCAGGCTTCTGTGTTCCTTCTGGAAACTGCCTCAGCTCAGGCCTGCTCAATGTCAGCATGTGTAAACAGGGTGTGTAATGCAGTTTTGCCATCAATTATATGGAGTCTCTGTTCTTAATTAAATTTGGTTAATTATAATCTGCGTCCATAATCTTATCTTGGTGGCGTTTAGGGGCTCCCATCATCATGTCCTCACCGCACTTCTACCAGGCTGATGAGAAATTTGTTGAAGATGTGTTTGGGATGAGGCCCAATAAGGACGAGCATCAGACTGCCATCGATATCAATCCAGTACGATTTAACTTTATTTAACTGAGCATAAGGCACACTGTATTTTTTACTTACCGCTTACGTACAATATACATACAATACAGTGTTTAATAGATTGTCTTTCTTTAATAAATTTGTTTTTAATATGTGCTGACAGGGGCAGTAGCTCAGGGCAAGCAGGTGTTTGTTTTTTATATTTTTTATTTATTATTTTTTTCAATAAATGTGTTTTGAAGACATTGTGTTGTATATAAGAGTCATAAGCCCATGACAGGTGACTTGTAATAATTTATAGGGGATTTAGGGATTTTTCAGAATATAGCAGTTCTCAAAAATTTAAGAAAATAGTCTAGTTGTATTTTTATTTTTGGGAACAACATGGAACTACTGGCCAAGGGACATATTAAACCTACCTTCATCAGTTAGTATTATTAGTTCATACATATATAGGATTACCTTTTAATCTGACACAATCTGCCTTTTCTTAGTGAATATGGCAGTAAAACTGTCTCCAGCTCAGGGGCCCACATCCTTTTAAACTTGGCCCTGTGTGCAGTACAAAATGATAACACTAGGTGGTGAAATATCTCAGTTTTGCATCTTCTTTAACCAGCCTTGAAACTGGTTAAAAATTAAAGAAGTGGTACTTGGTACTAACCTGTCACCAAAGATAAATTCTGATAGGTGATGTCAGCTTTTTGTACTGTAATAACCTGGTTGGTCTTGGGGTAGAAAAACAGTTGTAGACCAAGAAAATATACCTTGTTGTAATCTCTGGGACTTCATAAATTTTGTGGGTATTGCATGTAAATGAAGCAGGAAACATTGCAGGTATACAGACCTGCACAGAAGTACTTGTATTATTACGTCATGCTCCAAATGCAAATTCAATGTGTTTTAATAGGATTTTATCTGAGCCCTTTGCAAAGTTCTTATTAAAGATGGTGAGATGGAAGAACAGGGATAAACAGTTTTCAGTTTTTTGAAAATCTTTGGAAAAATGATTGCCATATAGCACATTGGTTTTTTTTTTCATTCTTTCTAACTGTATTCTGCATCATTTCTGTTGTTTCATTGCATGAAACCTTGATATATTTAACTAAATATGACATTTGTCAGGCGTAATCCATTAGTACAAAGTTCTGCAAACAGTTTTAGTTACAAAGCCATCAGAGGACATTGACCAATATTTCTTAAAAATAGAAGCATTGACTTCTAAAAATAGAAGCGTGACCTCTAAAATGTGAACTTTTGTCTGGTTACACAACCAAACTACGTGACAAAAAATTGGTCTGATTTTAGTTTTTTTTGGCATGTTGTGTAGCTTCCTTTTTCTCACTACTGCTTTTCATTTTCAGTTTTTAGAGAGTTATGATTTAATTGTATTCATTTCTGCATTGATGCAAAGTTTCAGATCTGCAAAATGAAAAATACATATTCATGCACATGCATAAAGCAAAGGAAACTTGCACGTAACTGTGACATAAGGTTTTATAGTGTGAGATACACGTTTGAACTCTGTAAACAACTGTTTATCCCCTGTTTGGCCTCCTTTCTGTACTTGAATCTTTGTTCAAAGTCCACTGAACATTCAGAGCCATGAAGCTGTTTTTCCTATGAAAGACTGAAGCATTGAGATGTATGATGGTTGTCATTTTATCACAAGGTTGGTGGTTTGAGTCTCAACTTATTATAATTAGAGAAATCTAATATCGGATGGTTTTACTTCTCTTTTCTATCAACCCTCATAATGCAAACAAAAACTCTCTGGAGAACAGTTGGTAGAAATAGTGAATATTAAGAAGAAATAGTTCATCTATTCTTTCTTCCCTTCTTCCTGCTCACTCCATTTTTTACCTGTTGTAGTATTTTCAGATTCTCAGTTGAAGCATGATTTCTGGCATAAATTTGTAGTGAACCTTTGTATTTATACTTTAAAAGACTGATATTTCTGGGAAACTGAGTCTGGAAAAATGTTGAATTTTGATATAAAAAGGCATCTTCACCCTGTAGGTATTATAATAAGCATTAATTGTCTCTTCCATGTCCTCCTGACAAATTCTGATTATGTTTTTACAGCTGACAGGAACCATCCTACAGGCAGCCAAACGTCTCCAGATCAATGTCTATGTGGAGAAAATCCCAAGGTTCAGGTAATCCACTCACTTCCTTTTAGCTGTCTGTCACTTATGACTAACTGGATGTTGAATTAATACAATGTTCTTCATGTTGACTTTTGATAAAATCATCACACCTGAATGGTTATTCATCGCTGGGAGGGGCCGTCTGCCAGTAAGATAAAAAGCACTTTTGCCACCATCATCATGATGAGTGGACTTTTGGACAGACTTTTCTCACTTGTTTATGAGTCCATATGACATCTGATAGAAGCAGCTCTGGGATCATTTCCAAACTTTTGCCACTTTTTCTGTTTCAGCTGTTCAACATAAAAATATTATATTTAAATATGTATAAGTCCTCTGTTTAGAATTGATGCTGTGCAAATCTTTTAACCCTTTAACTGTCACCCTCAAAAACTCTCCCTGCTTAGACAGCAGCCTATGGGTCCATGATGTGTTTTGGGAACACATTTGTGTGTTGGCAGACTCAGAACATTGTTGTTGACCAATATTTTGACTCTTTATTGCTCCATGGAAGAGAAATAAGAACCTATTTCTGTGTCTACCTCAATCTTTTCTAGTTACTGAACAAATATTGATGTAAATCTTTGTTGGTTGGAACTGAGCTTAAGTATCACTACCTTTATCTCGGGTAGGCATTGTGTTAAGGAATATTGCTCCATAAGTTTGAGCTTCCATAAGTAATATTATGTTGGTAACATTTGCCACTTGGCTATCTTTTACTTAACTGTTACATTTTCTATCTTTTTTTTATACTTTGTACATGAGAACAAAAATTACCCTCATTACTTCTGTATGCATATATATTTTTTCCTTCTCTTTCAGTGAAATAGGAAACGTGAGGACAGTGGTTTTCCCTGTGGTGTATCTTAATGAGGTAAAAACACTTTTTGAAGCAGTCACTGAATAGAAATCTAGTTTAATTAATATTATTTTAGGAACTATTTGAAAGACAATTACTCTGTTTTATAATGTACCGCGTTTTGAGGTTGTATTTAATTACTTTGATTATCAACCTTGAACTTGTAAAAAGTATTCATGATTATAATAATCTCATCATCGATGAGCGGCGTTTGCCGCTGAGTTCCTAAGAATTGAAGTCTTGAACGGCTCCTTTCATTTTTGAAATAACCAAACATAAAACAGCTCCGACTATGAGATTTACTTCCAAAACTTAATTTCTTTTGAATCCAATGTGGAAAAGTAATTTGAAATTTAATTTTAACTTTTGAAAGAAGAAAAATTCCATTAGTCAGTATTTCTAGTGTCGTAAAGAATACACCTCAAGACAATTTTCTGCTTAATTGTAGTTGTTTTTACTTTGCGTGGACTTTAAACATGTGCTTTTTTTAAAAAATTAACTTAATTTATTCATTTTATTCTCTGAATAATTTCTTTACTTTTATGTAAATGTAAAGATTTTCTGTTGTTTTACTTTTAACTGACCACCAGAGCGTTCTTATTGACGACGCCTCAGCCAAGAAGCTGCAGAGGGTTGATGTCCAGAAGAACGTGGTGGAGAATATTCCATTTCTTGTCATTGGTCTTGGCATCATCCTGGGAGGAATCTTTATGTTCTTGATGTGTCGACAGAAAGTCCCCGAGGTGAGTTTGCACTGCGAAAAATTAACACATTTCTGTCATTGCAAGAGGTGATTCAATGGTCTTGTTTAAATTTATTTATATGATGAAATAAATCACAAATCTAGACATCAGGCATAGTAGAGTTGGGTGCAAAAACTCCCGTCTTGTGGTTTACAATTAAAAAAATAAACAAAATGGTAGCAATTAAGAAACACCAGAATACTTATTTAGCAGTCATCACAATTATCAAATGTTGAATAACTAATTCTGTATGTTAAAAATTCTGTAACGTGTGCTGTTTTTCAGAGCACTGAAGCAGAACGTCAGCCCCTGATCTCATCGTAGCACCAATCAAAATTCATGAGGACGATCACGGGTTACTGACATAATGTTAGAATAAAATTATCTGACATCTAGACTCCTAACCTTTAGGCAGCCACTCATAACCAGAATCTCATCTTTTCAATGTTGTAATGCTTTCAGGAATTTTGTGTGTTTACAACAAGCACTTAAGTTGATTGTTTTCATGCTGTAATGTTGCTCAAACCTCTCTTTAATGTAGTCTTATTTTTCTAACCACTAATTATGGGATTGCAAATGAAACCAAGCAGAACTGAGCAGTATTAAACCTAGTTATTATCCTTCATTGCAAATAAATGCAATGGGTAGTTGCATTTATTTGTGCAGCTACCCACAGTAGTTGCGCCACTATTTTGCTACTTTCATGTGTCAACAAATCAACTGCCTCCTACGAGATGCTGTTTTCAGAAAAAAAAAAATCAGTTTTATGGTTTTGTTAACTAAAACCATGTGCAAATACACTGATCACTGAAAGGTTAAAGTGATGAGTATGTTTTTATAAATAAAACGTGTTTTATTAAAAAGCTTCAAAAGTCATTTATTGTTTATTTAATGACAATGCCCGAATTTCTTAGCTTCTTGAAGAGTAATCAGAATGGGGATTTACTTGCTTTAAAACGATGCCAACCCACTGAACCTGATAATGAAAAAATGTGTGAAATAAACCCCAAACAGTATTGCTTCTCAAGGCTTTTATCTGCTGTGAATGTGTTGGAATGGACAGAAAAGTTTTTTGTTTTTGTTTTTATCCTGCTCAATTCCACACTATTTCTTGATTTTTATTTTATGATGCTTCTTGGGGATTTTGCTAAAAGGAGTGTAGAAAATGTTTTATGGAAGTGTTATATCTGATACTTTTTTAAGTTTTTCTATATGAAATGGTAAGTTGTTTGAGAATTGTTGTAGTCCAAAGGGGCCGAGGCTTTCAAAGTTGCTTATTTGTTTAAAAAATCTGTTGATTCTATTCAACATCATAAACTTATTGTGAAATTTCTTTAATAGAAATGTCACCATTTACTAACAGGTTGGTGTTTTGTGCTGTTTATGTAAGAACTGTTTGCACTACTCCTTAACAGTCTAAACATAATATGTAATCACTGATTAAATTCACAGAAAAGGTTGTATATGTTATTGGCATCTTGTCTTGTTGTTCGTCTTGACCAATAAACTGATTCACACATTGGCAATTTATGTCGACTATATTGTTTGATAAATTGTTCGATGACATGGAAAAGAGAAGTGGTAACTTGAAGTGAAAAGTATATGAATTGCTAAATATAAGTTGTCATAAGATCTATGGTCCATCAAGAGCAATTTAAAACTTCAAGAGAATCAATTCTTGTATATTGAAAACTCCGGGCTCTGAGTAACAGTAGATTAGCTGTTTTGTTATTCTTCCTTTTTGCATGCTTAGCTAAGCTGAAGTAGATATTAAGCTAGATATTATCTGAAAAAAAATACTCATACGTTTCTGGAAATTTTTCATAAAATCTACTTGGCAGAAACTGTGCAGCACCTTTAAGGTTTATATTGCCTCTGACGTGGACTCGTCCTACATTACCAGATTAAAGTGTACTTTGGATGCTTCTAGATACACTTTGACTTTGGTTGTCATAAAAACTGATAAGTGCTTGAGGATCACTGACTCTGACTCAGGCCACCGGTCATGCCAAACGTCCACCTTTACAGTAACAAATGTATTGAGTGAATTACTTCGAGGTTAACTCCTCCCCGGCCCAATTAAAGCATTTAATACAAGGAACAGGAGACGGCAAAGGAAGCCTGGAAAGCAGCATCTTCCACAAGCTTCATCTGCAAACAGCATGAAGGCGCTTCAGAAAAAGATCATCATCGTTTCTGTTTTTCTGTTCCTTATATGTCTCACTCAGGTGGGTTGAAATGCATGTTATTATTTTTTAATAACATGCAGACAATGAAAAATTTTTGTCTTGGTTTTTTTTTTAAATAAATTAATAAAAGAGCTTCTAAATGGTCAAATATTTACTTTTGCAGGTCAACTCAGGACCTGTTCCTGACAACTGGGACAGTCTGATCCAGAGGACAAAGCGATCGCTGCTGTGGCGGTGGAACAGTCTGAAACCTGTTGGAGCCAGCTGCAGAGATCCTTCAGAGTGTGGCACAAACCACTGCAGGTAAAACTGAATTGTGAAGTTCAGTAATCCTCTATTTGAATGATTTTTATTCACCACTTTGATGGCACCCGACAATACTGAATGTGTGCGTTCCGTTTCCAGCTATTTTTGAAAGCAAATACGAGATTTAAAGGAGAAAGGAATCCTTAATGTGATTTATACATCTGAATGTGATCACGTGTCTGTGAGGGTTTTATGATGTGTCCACATGCGCTTTGCATGGCATGACAAAGGTCCAAGTCAGAGTTCAAGTTGCAATTACGTTTCTGCTTATCTTTGCAGGAGAAACATTTGTTCCTTCTGACACTCCATCTCCACAACAGACCCACAAACACAACGCTGAAACAAATGGAGCCACCCATGTGAAATTCCTCCTCTGTTAATATGGTCAAACTAAAAGATGTGAAGGAAGTTTCTTTTGATTGTTTTGTTTTTATTTTAAATAGGAGCCTTTATGTAGGAACCTTTGCCACCATCAGCCTCAGCACTGGACTGATTGTGTAATCCAAATGTATGTTTGATAAGAAAATACAAACGTTCACCCTCAGTCTGTGAGCTCTGAATTTATTAGCACATGTTGTTCCTAATATATTTATTTGTATATTTTGTAAACATTGTAAATATTCAAATATACTACCTTTTTCAAGAGCTTGTACATTTTTTTCCAATGTTACAACAAATTAAAATACTCCCCACAGTTCTTGTCAGTTTTTAAATAAAAAGAACAAGCAAATTGTTCTTTGATACAAATCTACCTCTATGAATTTCATAATACATGTTTCCAGATTGTGTTAGATAGCTCCTTTCTACCATGTGTGAACTTTAGAATAGAATAAAACAAAAATATCAGAAAACTATATCTAAAAAAACAAGACTAAGAATATCATATTTTTGAGGATTATAACTTAAAAATACTGTGCAGCTGTCAAACAGTGCAACAAAAAAATCATAATGTGCATGTAAATATAATGTGCATTAAAAATTCAACATTCTAATTGTAATTTGTGAAACATGAAAACTATGCAGAAAAACAAATGTAGAATACAAGCGGAAATGTTTATGAGTAAAATTATGTAAACACTTATTGAGGGTTTGTGTGGCATTATGGAGAAGTAGGCTGTGTTTTCTGAAACTACTTTCATTGCTGAGACATGTGTAAAGACACTTTTTCTGCTGGTTGAGTTTATTGGCCTCTATCTCATGCCTTTACCAGTAGAGGGTGACATAGATCAATAAAAAAAATGAGTGGTGGAACATACTGGACTGTCAACTGAAGCAGTGGTCCCCAACAAGGGTCGTCAGAGTCCACAGCCCTGGAGGTCTTACATGTTTCTCCACTCAGTTTCCCATTTAGAACTGTCTGTCTGCCTGCCTGCCTGTCTGTCTGTCTGTCTGTCTGCCTGTCTGTCTGTCTGTCTGCCTGCCTGCCTGCCTGTCTGTCTGTCTGCCTGCCTGTCTGTCTGTCTGCCTGCCTGCCTGCCTGTCTGTCTGTCTGCCTGCCTGTCTGTCTGTCTGTCTGCCTGCCTGTCTGTCTGTCTGTCTGTCTGTCTGTCTGTCTGCCTGCCTGTCTGTCTGTCTGTCTGTCTGTCTGTCTGTCTGTCTGCCTGCCTGCCTGCCTGCCTGCCTGCCTGTCTGTCTGTCTGTCTGTCTGTCTGCCTGCCTGCCTGTCTGTCTGTCTGTCTGTCTGTCTGTCTGTCTGTCTGTCTGTCTGCCTGCCTTTCTGTCTGCCCGTCCTTCATCCCCCATTTATTGATTTTTGAAAAGGATTTCTATTGGCAGGTTTTTCTGCTTCACATAGTTAAGATAATAAGCAGTAAATGCAATAACATTTCAAGCTGACGGTTAAATGACGCTTGTTTTTGAACAAGGTGGCTACTGTATTGTATCGTATTGTATTGTATTTATATAAAGAACGTGTTGCCATTTATCCTACCTTGTGTCCTGGATGCTTTTAGTAGCAGTCTTTCTTCTCTCTTCTAATTGGCTGAAGACCCAGTGACGTAACACCTCCGGCAGTCCGAGCGGTGCTGATGATGATCGGCGTGTGTCCGCATCTACATGCCGGACCGGGTTCATGTGGGTCTCCAACACAGTTAGCATGGATAGATTTTAAAAGTGGATGCTCTTTCTTCATTATTAAGAAACCATACAGTTTTGTGTAAACCTGGAAGAAACACAAGCTTGTAAAATGTTTTCATGAGGAATCTGCTATTGGAAGACGCACATCTACTGTGACTGACGGCTCTTTTCAAGTAGGTTTTTTTTTTTTTTTGTTAATGCATCGGTGCATAAGTGCTGCGATCCGCTTCTTTTTGTCAAAAATCCTTTTATTTTCCAATGCGAGTAAATTGCTGTGCATCCGAGCTGCTTCGGAAATGGTGCTGCTGCCATGGATGCTTTGGTTATGCATGTGTGCACAGACGCTCTTTTATCTATCATGTTGCCCTACTTATAATTTCCTGATGAAAAACACACACAACTTATTTCAAGAGTCAGCTTTTCGAATCAGGGCAGAATAACGGAGGAATATATCTTTTATGATCAATGCCTCAAGACATGTTTGCAGAGTATCATATTTTATTAAAACTCAAGAAGAAAAATACTAAGAGGAAGCTCATCCTTAGTGCATTTAAAGGAATTATGTGACTTACCACTGATAGCTACTCAGCAAATGTATGTGAACAACAGCTCATCAAGTGGAAGTTACTATTTCAAAAGACTCGCTTTGGCATTTTGCCATTTTGAGACATTATTCTGTACATTAAGACAGTTCTAAGAAATTACATTAACCGTGGTGTTAGAGAAGCAACACCTCACTCCTGCATTTTCTCACCGCAGGAGTGAGAAAATGTAATTGGTGCACAGAATTTTCCGATTTTAAAAATACAGGATATTTCCAAGTGAAGAGCAAAAGGAAGCTGCTAACCTCCCAGACTGTTCTATTTCAGAAAACAAGCTAAATGTGCTGCTTTCTTCTAATGTTGTTTTATTGAAAGTGCAATTAGAAAAAGGTTAAATAAAGCTGTGTAATGAAAATAATTAAGGTTGAGATGTCAAACCTGGCTAAAATGTCCTTGCAAGATGGGACATTTTAGAGTGAGCTGGGCATTAAAAACCCAAGCAAACCTTTATAACTCCAAACTTCCAGCATCATACTGTGGAAATGATTTTCTTCATTTCCACAGGAAAACTATTCATACCTTTGAAAAATCCTGGTAGAAAATATTTTAGATGCTGCAAAAGACGTCAGACTGGGGAAAAAGCTCACCTTTCAAGTCTAACATTATGATTTGTGATTATAATATGACAAAATATCCAAGGAACATTTTTGCAAAGTATTGCAGACGTTACTTTCCACTACATGTCAGACAAATGTCTCTCCAGACAAATAATTGTTCATAGTCCACTCTTATCCTCTTCAACATGACACAGTAAATGCAAACCATTTTGATTTGTGATTATATTGTCTCATTAGAGGTTAGAATCAGAGATAACAAGCCACATTATAATCACAGCAGGCTTCAGCCTGTGCTGCCATTTTCTGTGACTTCGATCTTTTGTAAATGGCTGGCATGAAGCGACAGGCATTCAGAGTCCAGTTAATCACAACAATCTCTGTGCAACCCCATGAAGGCGGGACTAATCCACTTGGATCTTGAAATTCTGCAGTCCTCCTCAGTAGCTGGCCTACTTCTTTCTAATTGAATCAAACTCTATTGCAAATTGGCAAGGATAGGATAAATCCATCCATTTTCATATAACAAATATGTATGAGCAAATGTAAATGATCTTAAAATGAAGCAGAGGTCGGTAGTAACCAGTTACATTTAGTTGAGTAAAAGAAAAAGTATTTTTAATACTGCATCGTACTTTTTACTTCATTATATTATTGACCTATTGCTACTCTTACTTGAGTAAACATTTTGACACTCTATTGACCAGAAGTAACTTCACCGAATCACGAACAAATATGTTTTAACCAAAAATGCAACAGAAATGCACCTTCAGTATGTTAAAGTGAGGCTTCTTGTTTCTACACAAGCTTCATTATTCTGACATTATTTTATGTTTACTGAGAAGCATTTGGAATACACTTTATCTACTGTAAGTATAAATTTCAAAAGTTATAAATTGCTTGTAAGTCTCCTTTGCTTAAAATATGTTAATTTGTAATTATGTTATTTGTGTTTTTTAGTTTTTAAAAATACTAGAATTTACACATAACTTAAGATTTTTTTTGTCTTATGACATTTTTAACTTAATATTTAGTCTTTAGATACAACCTTGTAAACATAAATCTATTTTTCTCAAGCTTTTGATGATCAGCATCACATTCCTGCTGAATCCCTATGGAAGCCGCAATGCATTTTAGATAATTTAAGTCCATTTTTCTTTAATTAACAGTGACAGTGTGTAATTTGTTGTGTATTTTGTACACTTGATTATATAGTTAATCAACTCAAGAACCTGGTAAGAACAGTGCTTTTTGTTATATCCTGCAAAAATTCGTAAACAGCCGAGCAGATGTGAAGGTGCATTTACTTTTCAGCAGTGTCGGCGGAGCATCTCTGCATTGCAGCTGCCCTAGTTACAGAGCAGCTGACTAACTCTGTATGACTGTGGTTGGCCCAAGCAGAGAGGAAAAAAAGGAGGGGTTTGTTAGTGGTCGACTGAATTATGGAGCGCAACACTCGGCTGAGACCCAGAGGCACAGATCACAGAGGGAGTTTGAGGTCTGATGGTGCAGACTGTGATAGCAGCATCCTGTAGTTCTGCTTATTGTTCATCTCTCGCCTTGTTTATTCAGCTTGCTTTGAACAATGCTTTCTTGTTTTTTTTTTTTTATCCAGCTGTCAACGCACCTGAATAAATCTCAGATCTGGTAAAAGATCTGAGGTTTGGGAAGAAAAACAACTGCAAAATTATTTTCCTTCTGATCTCCTACATGTGGTGAACCACAAATGAAAATTTAAAAGGCTGATCCAAAGCTTTTGTTTTTGTTCAAGTAGAGATGCAAACATTCTGTACAAGCTATTCAAAGATAACATGTTTGGCTTAAAAGTGTGCATAACCTCAGCATTTTTTCAAATTGAATCCCTTATGTGATTTACTTCTGCAGGATAGTTTTAGGAACATGGGGACACCATGATCGGAGCATCCACTCTCCCGGGTCACACCTTACTAGCATGCCACTTCCCAGTGGTGCAGCTTCCCACCTGGCAGCTTCCGGTCCAGGCCCTGTGCAGCTCCGCCAAGAAGCCCAGCCGGCTTTGCTCGTCCGGACTGACCCGGGCGGTGTCCCTCCCAGAGCAGGACACACTCACTCGAGAACACTGCTTTACGGGTGGACGGAGGCCCTTTTCCAGCAGCTACGGCAGTCTCCGTGAGGATCGGGTGGAGGAAGAGGGGACCAGCGACAGCAGTGGCAGGTACGATTCCAACTCATCGCCAGAAGAGACGGGCTCCATCAACAAGGAGGAAAGCTGCGGAGCTGCAACCACCCAGCGCTCACACAACTCGTTCCTTCCCAACCCAGATCTAGATGAG